TCAAACTTATGCAAATGACTGATTGCCATGGAAAAAAGAATACTTGCTGAGACCTTTTGAGTTTCAGAGGGTTCGGATAGAGAGAAAGAGTTGAATACCTTGATTTGTTTAGAAATGAAAACTTTTACATCTCTGTAAGTTATAGATAACTTAAGAAAAAGTTTCCCTAGTCTGGAAGAGCAAACATTACAGAACTAGTCATGTTTAAAATAAGACAAAACATTAAGAGACACATTACAATCTTTCAGTTCATCTAGTCCCATGTTGCTAATTCTGGTTTAGTCTGAATGCAGCTTTTACTTCTGGAAGTTCTTACCCAATTCAGTTCCAGGATTTCAACATATCAAAGACCTGTATTTGTCATGAAAGTCTCCCATATGAATTTCCTTTAAGGCGGAATTCATTTTACAAGAGAATTAAAACAATTACAAATGACAAGAACTCAGAATAGATACGGTTAAATTATCAAGTGATGACCCTATCAAAACATTAAAACTTTAGGAAATGTATAGAACCTCTAGAGTAGTTACAGCATTTACCCAAATGTAACCCAAGGTTTATTATTGGTTTACCAGTACTTGTTGAGTAACTTAGTATATCAAGGGAAAGCCTTATGAGTCAGAGAGGTCTCATTTACAATTTAAATCTTGTCAACAATTGCTAAAACCTTAGAAAGTTTTAAAGCACATGCCTAAATATAATTAGGGATGTTAAACACCTGATAAAACAAAACATAGAAACTGAATATTCTGGGCAGGCAAAGAGAAAACCATTTGCATTTTTTAACAGATCAATTAACCTAAGAAAACTTTGCCCTTTCAAACAGAGAGAAAACCAGCTTTTCTATACCAGTGTCTTTTCTTTTTTTATTTTTAAGCATGTAGTCTTAAGATAGTGGGTTTACTGGGTTTCCCTCCCATCGTGAATGATGTCGCAGACAAAGGGAGGGGGATCTTTCATATTCTGTCCTGCTCTTGTCCCTCGCGGGGACTTAGGAGCATCTTAGCTAAGGTCTGTCCATATAAGCCCCGGACCAGGCTACTCTGTGGAGTAGATGACCGTTATGCCATATGACGCCCCACGAGACTCAGAGTGCAGCCCATTCAGACTCCGTAGCCGAAGCGGTGGAGCCGTACAGAGAGATTCACACAGTCAGGCACTCTTCAGATTCATACAGGTTGGACACCCTCGTCTGGGTATCCCTGGCTAATGGGAGGTGATCAGTCTTTCCTTCCATTCTTTATGAATGGGTCTGGCTCAGACAGTGTCCAGGAGAGCCCAGCCTTGGGTCCGCTGAAATCAGCGGGGCGAGCCTAAACCCTAGGGCAGGTACTCCGTTTGCCCTCTGCAGCCCGTCTCCTGTCCCACACCAGTGGCACAATGGGCCAGCGCGGTTGGGATTCCTGGTCAGGGAACCAAATATTGCAGAAAATCCGAGGTGACTGAGGAAACCCAAATGGCACATGGAGAGATGGGAGAACACAGCTTTATTAACGCTGGCGGGCTCAGTGGGATCGTTCCCAAAGACTGAGTACCCAACAGGGTTAGGAGTGAGTTTCTATGGTCACAGGCAATGGGGGATGGTAACAGGGTGTTTTCGCAGTCTCTCAAGACCGGGATGCTTTCCCAGTCTCTCAAGGCCAAATGGCCCTTTCATGTGGAAGTATAATATATGTGGAGGCTCCACAAGAGAGTGCTAAATCACCTTGGGGGCTGTTTTCCTTTCTTTTCTTATTCAAACAGGATCAGGCATCTGGTCTTTTTCTTTCTTTTTTTCTTCTTATTCCGTCCTGACCATATCTAAAATTCCATTCCAAAGATTTCCCTTCACAAACATTCTACAATTTTCCTTTGCATTCCTATTTTGTCCCAAGTCATTTTCTTCCAAACAACCATTCCATTTAGGACAAAATTACCTTCTCTTACTGTTAACAAAATGTATTCCCATTCCTTATCTCTTTCTTACATATCTCCTACTTTGCTACATACAGAGTTGCTTCCCTTATTTCCATCAGTCTTAGTTACACTTATTAGAATTTTGTACTCTTAGAAACTCTTCAGTCTCTAGTGATGGCTAAGTATTAACCAGTTGTGAACAGTTACAACAGAATTCTTTAGATGGCAAATTTATCAATCAGTTAAGCACAAAACATGTTTACCAACAGATTTAAATATTCTTAGTTTCTTTGCAGTAGGAAGTAAAACGCACAAACCTAGTTCCAGTAATTAATGCTTTAGCATTTATCCCATTTGGTTAAGACCTAGATGTTTGTATTTTAATTCCATTTGTCATCCAGCCAAAATTTTAAAATTTCAGGTTACCAAAGACTTTGAAAGCTACTTTAACAATTACCCATTAAAACTTTGAGACAGACAATTAACCATCAGTTCAGTCATCTCTTTGCTAATAGATTTTAACAGATACTAACACAGATTTTAACACAAATAACACGAGCTTATTTGACCTTAGGTAAACTTTGAAGTTTCACATTTACTGCTGTAACTTCAAAGACATGTTTATCTTAATTAAACCAACAGACTTAACTTAGTTCAAATACTGATTTACGTTCCACCCAGACCCACTCCACTTCAAATGTTTACCTGAGACCTAGGTGGGAAGTTCGGAGTTGGGAGGGGTGTTAGGTCCAGGGGGTGCTCTTCTTGTTTCCTGACAGTAAAGAACAGAAGAACAAAGTGCTGCCAGAAGGCAGAGAAGGTGTTCCCAGTTTTAGAGCTCATCAGCTCCAACAGAGGAACAGATGCCATGCCTACCCACTAGCAAGGGGGAGGGGCTGAGCAGTCCACGTCGGGCCAGAGAAGGCAAGGAATTTCCCCGAAACAAAGGGAGTTTTGGCAGCTACTTGGGAATATTCCTTAAAGTCTCTGTCTTGAGTTAGACTAACCACAGTTGGCTCCAGTTATAGCCATTAACACATGAAATGAGTGAGGGAGAAGCCTCACACCTATTAGGAGAAATGGAGAGATGAAAGTCAGAGTCCCCTTACTCTCTGCTTGCCCCATTTCTTCAAGCACAACCAACAACATAACAGACAACAAAAAGACAAGACAAAGACAACCGCAGACCCAGCGGCCCCTACCCAGAAACTGCCGCCGGTGGGGATTTTCTCAGTCCCCCCGCAAACACTCGCTGGTGGGGATTTTCTCGGTCCCCTACAAACACTCGCTGGTGGGGATTTTCTCTGTCCCCTACAAACGAGCAACACAACAGACAACAAAAAGACAGAACAAAGACAACCACAGACCCAGCAGCCGGTGGGGATCTTCTCGGTCCCCTACAAACACCCGCTGGTGGGGATTTTCTAGGTCCCCTGAATGCCTAGGGGGACTCAAACCCCTGGCAACCTACCAGAAGAGGGATGGGCCGTCCCCACATCCACTCCAGCCCTGGGGAGCAATGCTACGTCTAGCTTCTCCCTGGTGGGCCATACCCTGGAGCTCCACAACCAGACAGACAGACTGGATCTCACAGAATAAAATCTTGAGATCTTGCCTCCGGAGGCTTTTCCCAGAAATTCTGATGCTGGCTCAGTTCTTGTCGTTTAATCCCGGACAAGCCCCCATTGCTGGGTCCGTGATCAAAGGAGCGAGACTGATACAAAGTGAAGGTCAAGCAAAGCTTTATTTCGCGCCAGCACTGAGAATCAAACCGACCAGTCGGGGCCACCTCTTACAGAGAAGGCAACCCCTCCCAGCCTCACAGACTGACTTTTACAGAGCAAAGGCCATGTGGTTGAGCCTGGCCACACACAGGTGGTGAGTTGAATTACAGTTCACCCTATAGTAGCTATTTGAACTAGCCTATCACTCTGGTCAGAATTGGCGCCCAAAAGGTGCCCAAAAGGCGGGGCCCACATTCTTTGGTGGTTAGGGAGGTGCTTTCCTGAATGGATGTCTCCACCTGGCTTGACTCATCCTTGCATTCTGGGTTCTGTTATCTCCCCCTGACCTGACACGTCCTGGTATATGGGCTCTGTTATCAGGGGCTGGTCAGCCATATTTTACTGGTTTCCCAGACTTGTTTCTAAGTAAATTCCTCTGGGGGGGGGCAGGGTCAATCTAAGTTTACTGCATAAACAACAAAATGGCTATTTAACCAAGATGGAGTCACTCTGGCTAAGTAGGCCCTTACAACGGGATCTACCTCTTAAGGTTGTGTGAGGAATAGATCAGACAATGCACCAAAAGTGCTTAATACTTGGTACCAAGGAAGTTTTTAAAAGATAGTGACCTGTGGGAAAGATGGCAGTAATATATTTATAATACTAGGCACCTGATGTAATTTTCAGACCTTTTTAGAAAAGCTTTATAAGTGAATCTTTATACACACTGTGTGCACATGTGTAGTTGTTAAAAATGGTTTTTGTCAATAAAAGGTGGGGGATCTATCAAGTTTATTTGGAATTAAAAAAAGTAGGAGAGAGTGATCACATGGCAATTTCTGCTGTGGAAATTGAAGTTGTGATTTTCCCAGGGGAGGACATCTTCCAGCACACTAGAGAATTCTTCTAGTAGGTTTTTTTTTTTAAGATTTTATTTATTTATTTGAGAGAAAGAGAGAAAGAGAGCTTGCATGTGTGCACAGGAGCAGGGGAGCAGAGGGAGAGGGAGAAGCACGTTCCCCGCTGAGCAGGGAGCCTGAGGGGGCCCTCAATCCCAGGACTTCAGGTTCATGACCTGAGCCGAAGGCAGATGCTTAACCAATTGAGCCACCCAGGTGTCCTGCCTCTGTTGAAATTTTAAGGTGCTTTATAGACAGCATTAAGTATGGAGTGCATTATAGACAGCATTAAGTAGGATGTCATTCCATTTAAGTTCCTGTATTCTAGTGAAAAATATCTTGCTTCAGTGATAGTTTGTACATGTTATCTTTTAGGCCTTTAGTATGTGATAGGTCTTAATAGCATTGTTACTCTATGTGTTAAGTAAATTTTCCCTTAAAGCTCTAATCTGGACTAAAATTTATACTACTTTCTTTCTAGGACAGCCAGTAGAGGGGACTTCATGTTTTCTGCGGATCGTCTGGTAGGTGGAGACTTTCCATTTTTATTTCATTGTTCCTAGTGATATAATCACAGTAGGCCAAGTGACTTTTTTGTTCTAGAGAATTCTGGGGGGTTAGAGAGATCATGCCAAGTAGTCATCATCCTGGCAGGCTTCTGAAGTATTGATTCTACCCTTTCATTAAAGCTGTGCCTCGGTCCCTTTCACCTCAAAAGTGTTGCCCATGAACTCATTCTGAGTTCATTCTGAGATACTTCTACCTCTCAAGTAGATCTTGGCAACCCTTAAATATGTCATCTTTGGGCAGTGAAAGTACATTAAAAGAAAGTACATTAAAAGAAAACCAAAGATGTAAGGAGATCTAGTAGTTACCCTTGTGATAATTCATTTAATACAGAAACACTAATACCCCCCTATTGTAACTTATCTCAGGGGGATATTTATTTTGCCTTTTCTGTACTATCCTCACGTGCGAAATGCTAAGTTGGACTGTGTATGCTTCCCTCAGGGACTTCCTGTTAAGGATTGGCCAAGCCCAATTCAGTTAATTAATTTATTTTAAATCTGTGAAGGAAAACTTTTTTGAATTAAAAATTTTTTTTAATTTAAATTCAATTAGCCAACATATAGTACATCATTAGTTTCAGATGTAGAGTTCAGTAATTTATCAGGTGTATATAACACCCAGTGCTCAGCCCATCATGTGCCCTCCTTAATGCGCATCGCCCAGTTACCGCATTCCCCCCAACCTCTCCTCCAGCAACTCTCAGTTTGTTTCCTCTGGTTAAGAGACTCTAATGGTTTGTCTCCCTCTCTGATGACTTCCCATTCAGTTTTGCCTCCATTTCCCTATGATCCTCTGTGCTGTTTCTTAATATTCCACACAAAAGAGTGAAAGCATATGATAATTGTCTTTCTCTGCTTGACTGATTTCACTCAGCATAATACCCTCCAGTTCCATGCATGTCGATGTCAATGGTCAGTCTTCATCCTTTCTGATAAGCCCAGTTCAGTTTAGCTGGTGAGGTCTGAGAGGGTCTCAGGCCAATTTGGGTTGTTTTCAGGTAAAGCACTGCATTTCCTTTTTGTGTTTACATCTAAGTGTGCTCAGGGCTTGGAATAAGGTTGATACATTTTCTGCTGTCGCTATTCATTATTCATCATTGATGAAATGTATACTGAACTCCAGTCAGGCCCTTGGCTGGGCTGTGTTACAGAGGGAGGAGATACAGCAGTCCAGAATACAGACATTGTCCCTGATTTCATGGAGTTTACATTTGAAATGCTGTTGTCAGTATTTAGTTTGGGAAAGAAAAAAGTGGCTTCTTAACCTCACAGGTGTAATAAGAGAATAAAAGATAGATTATTAAAGGGAATGTTGGGGGGGAAGGCATGAAACTTTTCATTTTGATTTTCCCTCAGGAAATATTAATTCCAAAGGAGTATAGGCAGCTCCTTTTGGGCTTGTGGCCTTAAGTATTCCTAGTTCAGAGGTCACTTCTATTTACAATCATTTGAGCTTCCAGAGGCAGTAATAACACTTGGACTGCATCAAGGTCAGTGTAGTTGGCACTCCTGGAGTTATAGTTAGGTCATTCTGTCTTTATGCTTTTATCAAACCAAAGGAAGGGGTTCAAGGAGGAAGGAACTTCTGTCATTGGCTGTTGTGGAGAAAACAGATGTTGGTGTTCATTAGTCAAAAATGGTTCCGCTTTATTTTGCTTTCTTTGCCTTTTGTCTGTGGAAGGTAGGAGTTAAGTTCATAGTTATTGTAAAATGCTTGCTTGAAAGGGCAGGCGTTATATCTTAATTAAATCATGTAGTGAGGACCCATGACAATTGACACAAGGCAATGTCAATTTGGACCTCTCTGTTCTCTGCAGTTGGCTTTGAAGGTTCTGATACCAGGAGAGTGTGTAGAGCCTCTTTTGTGGTTGTGGTAGGGACTGGAGCTATTTAGGTTTCTGGTATTGAGGATTTCTTGTACACTGTTCTAGCACAAGGGTCCCATTATAGTTGACATTAATTCTATCCTGGATTTGTCAGGATTGGCTTCCCTGGCACTCAGATCTTGAGTTCGTTATATTTAGTCATCCTTCTGCTGGTTTTATGTTCTCCCATGAGGCTTGGACATACTAATTTCTGTCTCAGAGTTGCAGGAGACTGGCAGGAGGCAAGACTCTTTAGGAGAGTGTTCCTGGGAGGGGCACCTGGGTGGTTCAGGTGTCCATTAAGTGCCTGACTCTTGATTTTGGCTCAGGTTGTGATCTCAGGCCCATGAGATCAAGTCCTACCTCAAGCTCCATGCTCAGCGGGAGTCTGCTTGAGACTGTCCTTTGTCTGCTGTCTCCCCCAAACTCTCTCTCTCTAAGAAATATACAAATCTTTTAAAAAATGTGTTACTAAGAGATCTCAGCTATCCAAAGAAAAGGATCCTTTTCTTCCCTTCAGCTCGCACCTGAGAAACCTTCACCTCCACAGAAGGTGGTGGCTAGAGATGAGTGTGCATACACATACACAGTATTCATCAGGTTCCTGGGCTCTCTGGTGTTTCAGGCTGACAGTGCTGGCCCATTTAGCATTGATCATTTTAATGGCAGCAAGGTGTTGTGTTGTAGTGATAGAACATGGTGTTTCTCCCTGCTGTTCTAATTCTTAATCAATAGTGTAGTATTGATTAGAGAAAATGTGCATTGCAGACACTATCTTAATTGTGGTGGGCTCTAGGTGCTCATAGGAGTATCATATTTGGGTTTTGGAGGCTATTCCTAGTAGCTCTGATGGATTCTTTCCTCTGTACCACACAATAAGATCATTAGGAGCCTTTTTTTTAAGCCGAGAAGCCCCAGGGCATACTACTGCCTCCTATTTCAAGCTCAGGAAATTGATCCAGCCCCATCCATTCATTTATTTCCTCCTGAGAAGTTTCAGGTTTTATTTGCATTATGGCAAGCCTTTGTTAAAAAGAATCCAGCTTAATTTCAAAGTACTAAACAAGGCAGAGAAGTTCCCAGTGGGCACTATTTTCAGAGTTATCAGAAGGAACATAAGGAATAGCATGGAGGACATTAGGAGAAGGAAGGAAAAAAATGAAGGGCGGGAGAGTCAGAGGGGGAGATGAACCACAAGAGAGTATGGACTCCAGGAAACAAACTGAGGTTTTAGAGGGCAGAGGGGTGGGGTGATGGGTGAGCCTGGTGATGGGTATTAAGGAAGGCATGGATTGTGAGGAGCACTGGGTGTTATATGCAAACAATGAATCATGGCACACTGCATCAAAAACCAATGGTGTACTGAATGGTGACCAAACAGAACATAATTAAATTTTAAAAAAATTCAAAAAGGAAGTCTGTTGCTTCCAAGGATGACTCTTGTCACTTGTAGTTCCGCATCTCTTGTGATATCGGCTGGCCTAAGTGAATTAGTATCAGAAGACATACTTGAGCCTTTTGGTGGCAATCATGCACCTACCCGAGGTTTGATACTTACCAGCAAGCAGCCTAGCATTTGGATCTGTTTCTGCATCTAACCTGTGTTAGGGGGTCCCCTACCTACCTCCATAAGCTAAACCCTTGCCTGTTGTGTTACTGACTTTGTGACTAGTGTTCAGCTCCTAAAGCTAACAGCTAACACTAGACCTAGCAGGTTCTCAACTTCTTCTTCTTTTGACTCTTTAGATCAGACTGGTTGTGGAAGAGGGATTGAATCAGCTGCCATATAAAGAATGCATGGTGACCACTCCAACAGGTAACAGGGGTTGTTACTCTCAGATTCTAGTCCTGAAAGTTCTGGAAATTAGGGGGAAATGGGGAAAAAAAGCGATCTGAGTAAATCAGTATCCAAAATGAGGAGTCTAGGTGGAGCTGTTCTTTTAAACAACTTAATAAACTCAGAGATGTTTAGTAAAGAAATTTATATGGGTGACTTTTTGTTAATGGCTTGCTTGTCAATTCAAGTTAAAGGTTAATAAATATTCTTTAGCATGCAGGTGTTGCCTTTGATGACAGCCCATTGGGACCAGAGTTAAGAATGGCTAGCAGGTTATCTTCACCTCTGTGGGGAAGCTGCTGGTGTTAATAAATGGGTAGGTTGGTTTGGCATTGAGACTCCAAGTAAAAGAATGAGAAGTAAAAAAGACGAAACTAAAAATGATGACATCTGGAGAGAGTACTTTGTTTTACTTTAATAGAACACAGCTGAAGATCCCTATTTCAGAGATTTAAAATTCCAATTTTGTTCTCTAGTAAATAATGGAAGCTATTCTATTCAAAGGTTGACTTTATGAAAATTAGGGGCTGAGCTTGTTGCATCATAATTGATCCAATTCAGGATGGCACCAAGGACTGAGCAAGTCTTGGTAACAACGTCAGCCTTTGTCTCCTGCTTTTTAAGGCAGAATAGGAGCTCATAAAAGGGGTGGAATGAGGAGGCTCTCTCCTGTGCATCACAGTGCGCTCCCAGTTTGAATTGATGATGTTTATAGTGTTCAAAGTGCAGTGATTCCTCTCTGAATTCAATTTGAGGAATGTGTGTGTGAATATCATGCCATCATAAGTCCTGTTCCTACTCAACGAAGCCTGTGTCTCCCAATTATCTCCACAGGTTTCTTATGAAGAATTAAGAAATAATTGAAAAATCATGCCTTCTCATTACTTTCAGAGGGAACCTAAGAGGTTATACAGAATGTCTAGACAAGGGTTGCTTTGTACCCATTGGCTTTAAACTACAGGCACTTTAAAAATAAGTGGATTGTTCCAATAATGAGAGATAAATTCTTTGATTTTATTCCCCAACAGGGTACAAGTATGAAGGAGTGAAATTTGAGAAGGGAAATTGTGGGGTCAGCATAATGAGAAGCGGTAGGTTTGCATATATGCGATTCTTGTTTCTTTGCATGCATAGAAACAGTCGTTTTCCAGGAGAGAGGTGGGCTTGTCTGTCATAATTGCAGCCTGAATTGACTTAAATCTCACCACCTATGTTGTCTATCCTCACAGTGCCTTGGATCATGGCCTGCATGTTGCTGAGTTTGACTAATTTTAACTGCAGAGCATCTACTCTATGTGGCCTGTCCCCATGGGCAAGACTGCTTTCAGAGAAATTCATGGTAGGATAGGAGGATGAGATGGTACTGTCTTGGGGAGAACAGGGCAGCTTGAAGACTGATGGAATATGGCACAAATTTGGGCCTGTGGATCTTTGAATACCTGACTGGAGAAAAGTTTTTTTTTTTTTAATTTATTTTGTAGGGAACAGTCCTACCTGATCAGGAGATGGCCTGAATGACTTATTCAGTGTTTTTAGTTTTATATTTGATGTGTTGTTATGCCCGAGTTTTCGTGTCCGAGAGGCCACCAAGGAGCCAAGCACTGATGCAATAACACGAGGGTTTATTCAGCAAGCTTAAGCTTGGGCCCAAGTATACCCAACACAGCGGAGTAGGAACTTGGATCCCGAGCCAGATTACAGTCAGGGTTTTTAAAAGGCAGAGTAGGGGTAGACTCAGCAGTGGGCGAGGACAAAAGGGGGTTATGGATGATGTAAGTCTCTAAGGAATTTTGGAAGCGAGGTCTCCAGGACCTTGAGGGGCTAGCTATTGTCTGGGGTAAAGGTTATTCATTACCAGTAATAAAAATCTTCTCGTGAGACCCTTTAGATGTATATCAGTGGGTCATATGCTTGGGAATGATTGCTGACACCATCTTGGAGGTTTAGAGATAAAGTTTCACATTTCTCCCATCAAGTGTCCTTGTTAGTGAGATTTAGGTTTAGAAGAAATTTAACTTTATTTACATTTCCTTCTGCCTCAGCCTCCTTCAGTTTTATGGTGGGGAGGGCGACATTAGGGCTTAAGGAACTGAGTTATTTGTCTCTTGAAATTGGGCTATTGAGAAGATAGCTTCTTTGTTGTGAATCACTAGGACATTTGTAAACCGAGGGAGACTCCTGTCTTGAAGGATTGTGATCTCTGCAAGTTAACTATTTGTTTTCTTTTAGGGCAGCCAGGGGTGGCTGAGGAATGTCACACAAACTACCGAGGGGAGGGGAGCGGGTGGAGAGGGGGTGCAGGGTGCCAGCTTTTGCTTTGCCAAGATGGCTGTACTTATGTCAGGGCTAGACTCGAGGTGGGTACAGCCTTGTTTTTCTTGGCCTCCACAGTGTATGTGGCCATATAGCAAAAACACTTATCTGTTATTAACTCTAGGTATTTCCAGTTGCTGGTATTATAAATGTTGTATTTGTGTTTGAGTCCAACTGATTACTCTTTTAAACCAATCTTTGTGCAACAAAATCACATGCCTATAATTAGTATGTCTACCTGTTCCATGGGGATGATTACTTCCATTTGGTAACTAACTAAATTTTTGCATAAGATCCAAGATTCAGTGGAAGCCTCACTTGCTTGCTTGCACTGGAGACAGATGGATTTTTTTCCACATGTAAGCATTGCCTTTTCTCTGTGAATTTCTGTTTGTGAACAATTGAATATGTCAAGTAGAATAGGAGCTGTAAGTTCCCTTTTTTAAAGAATGTTGCTTTTAAGCAATGAAAGGATTTTCAGGACAATGTTATTTAACCTTTTAAAACTGGTGAAGACAATGGAGATGGGCTTTTAAGCCATTTTTTTCTTCTATTTTAGTCTAGTTCCTGCCCTAAAGGCAGCATTCTCAAACCCCTAGAATATGGCAGATGACCTTGGGGTAGTGCAGAGACAAGGGTTCTTTTTTAACATTATTTGCTATTGATTGATTTTCATATAGATTAGAAACCATTTGTTATGTTTACACCAGTGATAGAAACTTTCCTCTTAAAATAGGTGTAAATGAAAATAGTTAAAGAAAAATATTAAGTAACAGTACAGATAGAATTCTGATATAACCTAAAATCTGGAAGGTGGTACGAGAATGATTCACTTTTGGCAAGCACTTCCTGAAAGGAATTTAGACTAAAAAATAGCTGTTCAGAAACCAAGAGGTTAGTAGTAGTGTTGGATATGGTTCTTCGGGGGAAGGGAGGGAACAGTTTACTTTTTTCACTGTTTGCTGGCAAACTTCTGCCATTGAATTCATTGCTGGGGTGCAGTGATATCTCCTAATGTCACCTTGATCTGTAACCCAATTCCTCCATAAATCTTCTGTATTGTTTTTTCAGATGAAAATAACAGGTTGAAGTGGTTTAAAGCCTTCCTTAAAATAATAGGAATAAAATGGTCCTGATAATTGGAAAAGCTCAGGGAGCAGCCTAACAAAACACTGTATTTTTTGTATTCATGGAAGTGTGACATCCCTAAAACTTGAAAGTGAGCAATAAAACTAGCTTATCCTACTTTCATTGACCATGACTTAATCTGTTGTAATTGACCTGCACTAAGTATAAAATAAGAGCATATCAGAAATAAAAGCTCTTAGCTTAAGAAGAATTGCTCCCATCTTGACAATGTCCTTCTTGTATTAGTAATAGTCACACACTCTGCTTTGGTCTGTTTTTGGACTTTAATTCTATCCCCCACCCCTTTTTAAATTTTCCTTCTTCAAGGTGAGGCAATGGAACAAGGTTTACGAGACTGTTGTCGATCCATACGAATTGGAAAGATCCTGATTCAGAGTGATGAAGAGACACAAAGAGCCAAAGTGTATTATGCCAAGTTCCCCCCAGACATTTACCGGAGAAAAGTCCTTCTGATGTATCCAATTCTCAGTGAGTGGCTGGAGTTTAATTTGTATACTTTGCTTAGGGTTTAAATCAGTTCAACTTAGTGACTGCCATTTAGGTACCCTTATATAAAGGCAAAACCATTTCTAAATGTGTTTTTCTCAATTGCATTTGGAGTTGCCCTGGGCAGTTCTCCAGGGAATTTCTATTGAGCATATACATAGTCTAAATAAACTTTAGTAGCTCCAAAGAGCTTTTGTTTTAAAATGAGTGAAAACAGTGAAGCAAAGGATCTAATGAGGCAAAGTATACAGACACAAAAAATACATTGAAATATGTACCTTCTGTAGCCCAATTAATGTAGCAATGAATTTCTCAAGGATTTATCCTTTCTGAAAGTAATATTTTTTTCTCCTATTCTGATTTATAAGCTTATTCAGATCGCACATGGTATTGTCTCCCAGGGTTGGTGGTGGAGGTTGAGTGTCAAATTGGTATCTCAAATACTGAATGAATTTAGGGTTTGTTGTACACTTGAAAACTGAAAAGTATGTGTGTCATGTCCATTATTGAAAATAACATCATGGATGGGGTGCCTGGGTAGCTCAGTCTCTTAAGCGTCCAACTCTTGGTTTCGGTGCAGGTCATGATCTCAGGGTCTTGAGATCAAGCTCAGCATCAGACTCCTCTCTCTCTCTTGGAAATAAATAAAGAGATAAATTAAAAAATAGATAAATAAAAATCTTTAAAAAAAAAAGAAAAGAGGACGTCATTGATAAAGAACAGGCACCTTCAAATGAAGCTTTGCCTAGTGCCTCATGTTGGATTACCAAACTGCCTCTACTTCAAAGAAACTTCAAAGACGTTTTGAGATAAATGTTCAGTTTGCTAATGCATTTGGTTGTCATTTGATTTCAGGCACTGGAAATACTGTAATTGAAGCAGTAAAGGTTCTTATAGAACATGGAGTTCAACCCAGTGTTATCATCCTACTCAGTCTGTTCTCTACTCCTCATGGTGAGTTCAGCATGTCTGGGGCTCCAGATGGTCATGGGTTGGTAGGTATGTATCTGTCCAGACTCTGATTGTGAAGAAAAGTTCATTTCTACTTTCACGTTAAATCTAAATTGAATTTTGGTAGTTTATAACTTCTGTTTACCATCTCTAAGCTTAGTGATAAAGTATTTTTATGCCAGTCTAATGTTCAAATTCAAATGGGAAAGTATGAACTAACCCCTTTGAAGGGGATTGTAATTGTTTTCCTGGTATCCCTGTTTGGGTAGAGCCTGCACGTGGCTGAAGTGTCCGTTTCTCCTGACTTCTCACTTGAGCCTGAGAACTGCTCCCAAACAGCAAGAAACTTAAGGTTCCTGTTAGCCCTCTGGTCTTGCTGCATAAACTTCGCAGCGTGAAGCGAAGAGCAGAAGTTTTCTAAGTTCTGCTTCTGCTCAGAGGGCATAAAGGGTAGAACTGTGTGTTCTCCATTTCCTTTGGAAGCTAAGGCCCTAGTTTTTTGCCATATAATCTAGGACAACTGTGAAAGTATCCTAAGAAAATAATCATATACGCATGTAGAAATTTAGCCCTTGGGATATTCACTGCAGAGTTATTTTTAGTGTAAGAAAAAACTTGAAAGTATGTAAACGACTTATAATAAAGAAATGATTAAATAAATATATATTCAAAGGATGTAATATTATATAACTTTTAAATCATGTTTTTGAAAAACGTTTAATAACATCGAAAAAGCCATATGTAAACTTAAGAAAGTATGTCAAAAAATAACAGCATTAGAATAACATTAAATGCTACCACCAAGTTTAGAGATGACTTATGCAAGTTATGACTCTTATGACTACCAAAATCAGACTTGGATTTAACATAGAACTTGATAAGTCTTTCCTTAGCCTGAGAGGCTAGACAGATGCACAGTACTATTTCAATTTTCATTTTAAAATACATACTGTATTAATGGTGGTTATCATAGGATTTGGGGACTCTAAGCAATTCATTTTTTAAAGCTTTTTTTATATTTTCCAAATGTTTGACAGTGAATTTGTATTTGTTTCCTAATTGAAAAGAAAGAGAAATATGTGGCTTCTAGTTAGGGTGTTTCCTTATTTCCAAAGGTTTCGAGTCTCAGCCAACCTTGAAGGGGCCACAGTGTATGCACTTGGGAAGGCTGCTTTCTGCAGGCCATTGCTTATTTTGTCATTTCATAATAAAAATTCACCTGTAGTTCAAGTGTTGATGGTGACAAAGGGCAATTTCCTTGGTCATCTATTTATATACAGCAGAGGTGGCGCTGTAAACATTGAGATAACCAAATAATTATTGGGCTTCCTGCCCAATAGTAAGTATTAATTTTAAGGGCATACATTAGAATGGTATACTATTCTTTGACATGGTAGATGAAAAAAATCTTATTTTGTGGCTACATGGCTACGGTTTTTTAGTTTGGCGAGCATCCTAGCTCATCGGTTTCCCTGCAACCCCCAAAGCTAGAGTCCTAACTTCTGAAAGCTAGCTCACTCTGACATACCAAAGATGTTTTTACCCTTGTTTCACAGTGTTCTGGTTGAGAAGCCATCATCTTAATATATGATCCTGTTTCTGGAAAGGATTGTATTCACTCTATTCCAGCTGCCTTTAAAATGAAACAAAACAAAGACTTTTCAGGGAAAAAGTTTCTATACTGAATGTATTTTTAAAATCCTGGATATGAAACAATTTGATTCTAAGAGTTTATTAGTGAACTAGTGGAGGTGTGTGATGATTGTCAAACTTTTCATGTATCAGACACATAAACTAAGAGATTACTCAAGTCTGACTAGGTATTTAAAGGTCATTGCTTTCTGTCTTCTGGCTATATTATACCGAATGACTAAAATTCCTGAATTCCAGCTAATATTAGCAAAAAGTCATCCATTACAGCCACTCTCCTTTTATTTTTTAAAGGTGCCAAATCAATCATTCAGGAGTTTCCAGAGATCACAATTTTAACTACTGAAGTTCATCCTGTCGCACCAACACATTTTGGACAGAAATACTTTGGGACAGACTGAGTTGCCAAAGGAAAATTAATTACCTTGTGTAATATTACAGTTAATGTTTTGAGTTTCTACTTGTTTACTAATTCACTTGAGGAATGGCAGAGAAAATTGTGTTTTGTAATTTTTGGAAGAGAGTATAATAAAAAGGAAATATTTGAGGTTTATTTAATTTATTTGATTATTTCTTAACTGTTGGCACTAAATTCAACAGGGAAGCACACACAACTCTTAGAAAATATTTTAATAATCCTCTTATGCAAGTTGATGATCCCTCAGTGCATTGAAACTGTTACCTAATATTTTTTTTTAAGTAGGCTCCACACCCAGCATGGAGCCTAGTGTGGGGCTTGACCTCACGACCCAGAAATCAAGACCTGTGCTGCGATCAAGAGTTGGATGCTTAACTGACTGAGGCACCCAGGTACCCCAAACTGTTTCCTGATTTTTGAACCTTACAGTTTGGGTGTTGTTTGCTGCCACAAATAAAACCCAAATGCGAGTCTGGTCTTTGGCCTGCTATAGTTTGCATTTTGTTTAGTTTGCTTTCATTTTTAGGGAGAGTTTGTGTATATGGCTGTCATCACCTTCTTCTACTCTTTACTTCCCAGTACCATATGTGCTGGTAACTTGGAGAGGGCGAAGGAAGAATGCCTCCTGAAATTTTACATTTCTGTTAATATCCTCACTCAATTAGCAGACCCAGGGTATATGGTTAGCTCTTTAGTCAAGCTATTATGTTCTTCACGGCTCACTTCCCATCGTGTACATTGTTGGTAGGTGCCTTGCCAAGTATAATTCAGTGAAGAAGATGGTGAGCATTTCCAACCACAGAACTGTAACATTAATTTACACAGATGGATTGAACCAGGTCTGTCTGGATGCTGATGGGATGAGTACTGTTAATGCCATCAATGCCCTGGAAAGGAATTTGTGGTGGTCTTTCTGAGGTATGGGGGAAAGAACAGTTTCTTGCTAAGTTTCATGGTGAATCAGTATATTAAATTGCTGCATTTTTAATTTGCGTATTTCATTCAGTTTGGAAATGAGTTCTTTCACATACTTGTCACCTGTAGATGTATGAAAGTTAAAAATACCATGATATTTTTTAATTCCTTAAGATTTGTATGTGTTCTTATTTAGGCCTCTGAAGATAAACCGCTGTAGAAATCAGTGTGTTCTGAAACTTGCTTGTAAAATCCTGATCTCATTTTGCATTGATATTAAACATTTTTAACAGTGGTTCTGGCTGATGACTTGAATAGTTATACTCTCACAACCCCATAGGCAGCTGTTTTGGGCCTCTGCTCCAGAAAATCCAGAAAGAACAGCAGGCACTATCTTAGAACCAAAGCTGATGGAAGTCAGCAACGATTAGGGGAGAGGAAGGAAAAGCTAGTGTACAGGGGAATGTAGATCCTAGGAATGCTAGAAAGACTTCATTATATTTTCCCTTTATTTTTAATTTTTAAGTTTTTATTTAAATTCACTGTATATTACTTAACATACAGTGTAATACTAGTTTCAGGTGTAGAATTTAGGGATTCAGCACTTACATACATCACCCAATGCTTATCACAAGTGCCGTCCTTTATCCCCATCACCTATTTAACCCATCCCTCACCCCATGTCCCCTCTAGTAACCATCAGTTTGTTCTCTATAGTTAAGAGTCTGTTTCCCGGTTTACCTCGCTTTGTTTCCCCCTATGATCATTTGTCTCGTTTCTTAAATTCCACATATGAGTGAAATCATATGGTATTTGTCTTTCTCTGACTTATTTCGCTTAGCATAACACTCTCTAGCTCTACCCGTATTTCAAATGGCAATATTTCATTATTTTTATGACCAAATATATGTGTGTGTGTGTGTGTGTGTGTGTGTGTGTGTGTGTGTGTGTCTGTTTCTATGCTGGTACCATATTGTCTTGATGAATACAAGTTTGTAATACAGCTTGAAGTCTGAAATTATGATGCTATCAGCCTTGCTTTTCATTTTCAAGGTTGCTTTGCCTATTTGGGCCTTTTCTGGTTTCATACAAATTTTAGGATTGGTTGTTCTAGCTCTGTGAAAAATGCTGGTGTTATTTTGATAGGGATTGCATTAAATGTACAGATTGCTTTGGGTGGTATAGACATTTCAACAATATTTGTTCTTCTAATCCATGAGCATGGAATGTCTTTCCATTTCTTTGTGGCATCTTCGATTTCTTTCATCAGTGTTTTATACTTCTCAGAGTACAGATTTTGCCTCTTTGGTTAGGTTTATTCCTAGGTATCTTACGGTTTTTGCTGCAATTGTAAATGGGATTGATTCCTTGGTTTCTCTTTCTGCTGCTTCATTATTAGTGTATAGAAATGCAACAGATTTCTATATGTTGATTTTGGATCCTGGGACTTGACTGAATTCATGTATTAATTCTAGCAATTTTTTGTGGAGTCTTTTGGATTTTCTATATAGGGTATCATGTCGTGTGCAGATAGTGCAAATTTGAATTCTTCTTTGCTGATCTGGATGCCTTTTATTTCCTTTTCTTGTCTGTTTGCTGAGGCTGAAACTTCCAGTCCTATCTTAAATAACAGTGGTGAGAGTGGACATCCCTGTCTTGTTCCTGACCATAGAGGAAAAGCTATCAGTTTTTCCCCATTGAGGAGGATATTAGCTCTGGGTTTTTTTGTATATAACCTTCATGATGTTGAGGTGTGTTCCCTCAGTCCCTACTTTGTTGAGGGTTTTTATCAAAAAATGGTCACTGTACTTTGTCAAGTGATTTTCCTGAATCTACTCAAAGGATCATATCATTCTTATCCTTTCTTTTATTAGAGTGGTATATCATCTTGATTGATTTGGGATTTTTGAACCACCCTTGCAACCCAGGAATAAACTCCACTTGATCATGGTGAATGATTCTTTTAATGTACAGTTGGGTTTGATTTCCTAGTGTTTTTTCTAAAAGATTTTATTTGAGAGAGAGTAAGCACAAGCAGGAGGGAGGGGCCGAGGAAGAGGGAGAAGCAGGCTAGCTGCTGAGCAGGAAGCCCAACATGGGGCTCAGTTGCAGGACCCCGAGATCATGACCTGAGCTGAAGGTAACCGCTTAACTGACTGAGCCACCCAGGTGCTCCTCAATTTCCTAGTATTTTATTGAAAATTTTTGTACCCTTGTTCACTGGGGACATTGGCCTGTAATTCTCTTATTTAGTGGAGTCTTTATCTGGTTTTGGTATCAGGGTAATGCTGGCCTGATGGAATGAATTTGGAAGTTTTCCTTCCAATTCTGTTTTTTAAAATTGTTTGAGAAGAATGGGTATTAACTCTTCTTTATAGAATTCCCCCTGGGAAACCATCTGGCCCTGGACTTTGTTTGTTGGGAATTTGTTGATTGCTTGTTATTCGTCTTTTCAAGCTTTCTATTTGTTCCTGTGTCAGTTATGGTAGTTTATGTTTCTAGGAATTTATTTCTTCCAGGTGGTCCAACTTTTTGCCATATATTTTTTCATAATATTCTGTTAGAATTGTTTGGATTTTTGTGGTATGGATTGTGATATCTCCTCTCTTACTTTTGATTTTATTAGTTTGGTTCCTTTCACTTTTCTTTTTGGTAAGTCTGCCTAGGGGGTTGTCAATTTTATTATGGTTTTTTTTTTTTAAGAAACAGCTCCTGGTTTCATTGATCTGTTCTATTGTTTTTTATTTTCTGTGTCATTTCTTTCCATTTTAATCTTTATTACTATCCCTCCTTCTGCTGGCTTTAGGCTTTGTTTTTTGTTCTTTTTGTAGTTCCTTTAGGTGTAAGATTAGGTCCAGTCTTTTCTCAAGCCTAGCAAGTATCCTTATGATTGTTGCTTGAAATTTTCCATCAGGCATGGTACTTGTATCTGTTCTGCTTAGATCTCTGTCTGTGACCTTATCTTGTTCTTTCATTTGGAAGGAATCCCACTTTCTTGGCATCTTGTCCCTGTCTCTAACTTCCGTGTGTTAAAAGAGCCAGTTATGTTTCCTGTTCCTGAGAGTAATGGCTTTATGAAGAAGAGGTCATATAGTGTCCAGAGCCTGGCACTTCTGGGAGTAGCTCTTTTGTTTTGGCTGCTCTATCCTTCAGGCTAGTCATCTGCAAAGGCTCTCCTTGCCTGCAGTGGACAGTGTTTAGTCCTTGGCCAAACTGTGGTGAGTTTTAACTAGGTGTGCTCTGTTCTGCTTGTGAAAGGAGACCTGCTGCTGCTTCCACTAGAACTGAAGACCTCTCTAGTCAGGAGATGTGGTGTTGCAGGGTTTTCTGCTGGTCTCCTGAGGAAGGGGACCTGCCACCCTGGGACTGAGACAGGCTTCACCAAGAAGGGCAGTACTGCTGGAGTACAGGGGTTTGGGACCTGGTAGAAGCAAGTTGGTACCACTGTTGCTTTATACAGGTGTCTCTGTGTTTATGCTGAGGAGCTAGGGACGGAAGTGACTCCGGCCAACTCTTTTGTCACTAAGAGAGGCATCTCCCTGAACTCTGCCTGTCAGGGACACACTCCAAGAAAAGTCAAATAATCTTCCCCCCACCCCCACCATGTGCCCCAAGAGTTCTTCATATCATTATTTCCATGCCATGTGCCCCTGGGTTTTTAGCCTACCTTCTCTCCAGGAGTAGGCAGTGCCCTTAGGGCTCTATTCCAGCCCTGCCTGCTGACCTTCAAAATGTTAATCTTTAAGCCTTCCTGGTTGCAAGAACTCATGAAAATCAGCCCTTCTTGTTTTCCCGGTCAGTGGCTTTGGGGATTCCCCTTGTGCATTCCACTCTGTGCTCCTCTCTCATCTTTCTCCACAGCCACAGCTTCTAACCTGTATCCTTGATCGGTTTCTTCCCTCAACCAAATCTCCATACTTCCTGTGTTCTTCAATGTGGTTTCTTCTCTCCCTTTAGTTGTGCAATTTGTTCTGTAAGTCTTCAGGTTGATGTCTGGGGCATTTAGAATGATTTGTTAGTTATATAGTTGTGTTTGAGGGACAAGATGTGTTTGAGGGACAAGACGTTTAAGCGTCTTTCTTTGGCTCAGGTCATGATCCCAGGGTCCTGGGATTGAGCCCCACAATGGGCTCCCTGCTCAATGGGGAGTCTGCATCTCCCACTCCCTCTGCCCCTCTTTTTCCTCTCCCCCTCCACTCATGCTCTGTCTCTGGCTTTCTCTCTCTCAAATAAATAAAAATCTTAAAAAAAATAATGTGTCTTGTTTCTTTTCATCACTGAATATGATTAGGATTTGACAACACTTGTTTTCCACATGGAGGAAAATCCTGCTATAAGCAATAGCAATTATTCAATGGGATCATATTCCCCACTAATGTCTTTCTTTTAACCCCCTTCAGATTTTAAGAAAAATTATAACTATGACTTCTGAAATTTAGATGTTTTTACCAAGCGAGGCATTATTTGTAGGGTTAATCACTTGTACAACTCAGGGCCTGGGAAATTTTCTAAAATGATACGAAATTAACAGGCTATTCAAAACAAGATTGTTTTTAATGAGATGAATTTCAAAGTAGTTTAAACTGTGTAGATTCCTTATTGAAGAAAGAAACCCTAACACCATAAAAATGACACTCAAACAGTGTACGACAGTGTTTCTCAAAAGTTGAATGTGCATCAGCATCACCTGGACCTCACCGCTAGAATTTCTGGTTTGGTAGGTCTGGAGTAAGGCCTGAGGACTTGAGTTTCTAAGTTCCCAGGTAATGCTGGTGTTGCTGGTCTGGTGGCCACATTTTGATATCGGGTACTTCTTCTTTTATAATATAAGAATTTCATGATATACATTTCCTTAGAAATACTGATTGAGCTGTGCCCTACAAATTTTGATATATTGTGTTTTCATTTTCATTTTGGGCAAAACACTTTCTCATTTCTGTTTTGATTTTTTCCTTTGATCTAGGGTTATTTAGAAGTGTCTTATTTAATTTCTAAATTTATAGTATTTTCTAGATTCTTTTTTATTATTGATTCCTAATTTAATTCAGAGAATATGCTTCATATGATTTGAATCCTTTAAAATTTTATTAAGATTTGTTTTATGGCCCAGAATATAGTCTCTTTTGGTAAATCTTCCCTGTGTGCTTGAAAAGTATGTGTAGCCTACTGTTGTTTAGTGTTCTATAGAAATGTCAATTAGGTTAAGTTAGTTGATAGTGTTGTTCAAGATTTCTCTTTCTTTACAGATATTTCTGTGTCTTCTATCAGTTATTGAGAGACTAAAGTGTTAAAATT